ACTTTTTGTCCTTATATGCACACATTACACATATGTATGCATATACAAAACAGAGAAAGATATATATACATAATAGACATTGATAAAATACGAAGATACATAATCATATGGAAAGAAACAAATGTGTACACCACGCAGAATAAACAAAGTTGCAATATGAATCATAGCTAGGTTCGTATCAAGATGTGTTTCTGTTGAATGTAACTTAAACTCGTGGTATTTTAATTCCTTCAATATTGTTGTTTACCCCTTTTGTGTTTTGAAAAGTGTACATGGACGTTTGTTATCTCTAAAACGACAATTTAAACACTCACTTAGAAGCAGAAACAGAAATAATAATTTAAGATGTTATTTATCAACTACAAAACATCCTCAAGACAATAGGGTACTTCAAAATTAAAAGAGACTAAAAGATAACAAGCAATCAAGCATAAAAAAGTAAATTACAAATTAAGAAATCAAGTGTAAAAAAATGAGTTGAAACACATAAAATTCATGCGCTACTCTCCTAATATACAGATAAATAGTATATTTGTTTTTTAATAGTGCCAAAACTAAGTAGTTTTTTTTTTCTCATTAAGGTGTTCTGTATATAAAGGAACATATGATGTATCAGAAAATAAAGTTTCACTTAACAAATTTTTGACCCAATCAAAAATCTAATTCATGTTTACAAAAGTACACACTCCCATGTTTGTCAACAACAAAAGATCGTAATTCCTAAAATATAGGTTATAAACTACTTAAAACTAAAAGAAAAAATAAATAAATTGAAGATGTGATATGTGAAAACAAGAGAAGAAATTATTAAAATGTTTAAAGATAATATTAAATCTCTTAGTCTTTTTTATTATTATTATAACATTGTGAGTTTTATATGTTCTAATTTTAAATATGTGATTAAATGTTACTTTGTTGTTAATGTTGTGGTTTAAGAACTATGAAGTCAAGGGACTATAAGAGAGTTAAGTTGGTCTCTGATGTAGTTGGGTTGAGTTAAGTTATCTCTGTGTTAGTTTTAATTAGAGTTTGATGGTTCAACTTCAGGAAGGGTATATAAGTTTTTTTTAAGACATAAATTTATGTTTTATAAATTCCTAAAAAAAGCTAAAGAGAGGTTCTCTAAAATTTGAGTGAATCTTCTCCACTTTCCTTTACTACAATCCAAATTTTTTTCTCACTCGTTGTAGCCGATAAATTTTACTGAGCTAGAGGTATTCACCTCAAGTTTTAGGTCGTGCCAGATTCACCTATTCCCTTCTCTTCGATTCAGATCATCAAGAAGGAAAGGAAGTTTGTGAATTGGATGTTATTTAATGAATGAGTGTTGTTTTATTGTTTAGATTCATAAGTTGCATGTTGATTTGGTGAAAATCTTGGATTTGAGATGCTTTTAAGAGGGGATCTTCAATGGTATTCTTAAGTGGTTTGGATGATTCTTGCTTTTGATGGTTGTATGTGTTGGTTTGAGTTGGATTGTTGCCTATGATGCCAAGGTGTAAAATTATATGTTGCATGTTGGTGTGTGTTGAGTTTCAAGTGATTTTGGAGCAAGTCAAGTTTCTACCAAGAACATAATTTGATATTACGTTGAGCACACTTTCAAGGCATTGGATGTGGTTTCAACTCGGGGGTTTCTATCTTGCTCACGTTGGGTGTAGGATTGGTATCACCGAGTGTGAGGAGAGATAATTCTATTGAGTTATAATCAATATTGGGTGTGGTTTGAATGAAACAAAACACGAGGAGAGAAAATCATCTTTACCTAGATCCACGTCGTCGCCGGGCACTAGTGAACTGACGTTGGGCGTGAGTCAGGAAGTGGTCTTTTCCTTGATTGGGGGTCAAGCGTGGGTTTTTGCCACATTAGGCATAACAGAGTAGGAGGTTCTCTATCTTAGTCATGTCGAGCACAAGTAGTTTGACACCAAACATGGGCTAGACAATAAATCCCCTACCTACACATTGTCAAGAGTCTAATGGATGGTGTCGGACGCCGAGTGCATGTTGATAAGTTAATGTTTTTAGTTGTTTATGATGGGAATATAATGATTAAGTTGTATGATGAAGATTTTATTAGGATTATTTATTATGATGAAATTTGACGTGTTGTATGATGATATTTATGTTGTAGAGTTGTTAATTGTTAAATGATGAAGTTGTATAAGTTGTATGATGTTATAGTTGATTTAAGTTGTTAAGTCGATGAGAATGTGATGTTGATACATGTCTTTGTTATGATACATACAAACTAGATGAAAGTAAAAAGATATTTTAAAAATTAAAATATCTTATTATGTTGATATGTTGCGGTGCTCTAAGAGTCTAGATTGACACCCTTCATTAAGTATGTTGCCTTTTGAAGGATAGTTATTTTAAGTTATATCCTCTAGATTTATGTGATATCCATATGAGAATAAAGTTGAAACATACATGTATAAAGTGAATAGTTGAGTAAAATACAAAGTTAAGGACTTAGTCTCAAACTAAGTATTGGAAAGGCATAATAGTATTTGAAAGGTAATAGGTAGACTAATTTTATAATTGACTTAATGTTACAAGCTAATGTTATGGTATGTTCATACCTAAGTTGTCTTACCATGATAATAATATTAAATTTTATAATTTAAGTGACAAAATCCAAAAATAAAAATTAAGTACTTAAATATGTTCTTTATGAGACTTGAAGTTGTTTATACTTGATCTGATTGTGATAGGTTTAACGTTTTGGTTCAGTAGGTCTAACTACTTAAATTGCTCAACCATGTTATAAAAAATCTCCCTAGTTGATAATGTGTGAGAACACATTAGTTGTTTAATATTGCTTATATATAATATGTTGCTATGTTGAGCTTGATAACTTGTAATATGTTGTAAGTCATTTGTGTTGTGCTTGATGATAAGTTGGAGTTGCAAGATGAAGTGATTGAAAGTTATTCCTTGGTTGATTTAAGTTGCCTTATAATATTATTGTTGTATGTTGATTTTTTTTCATAAATTTATTCCTTTTTTTTTTCTCGTGGTTGAAATTGCAATAATCATACTTGATTAAAAAAAAATAAACAATTAAAACTATGAAAACCAAAATTACTCACACAGTGAACTAAGAAATTAAAAGTACAATTAAGTCTAAAATTTTAAAGTCTTGTTAATATATGTCCTAATATTAACAATTAAAGAAATAATTAAAAAAATCATTAAAAACAATATCAGAAGTATCTCGATAACATTTTTTTTATTAACACTTTACATTATTGTCGAAATACATTATCAAAAAATCTAATTAAAAGTTCACATTTGCACTCCTTAATTAATACTGCATATATACTTGCTAACACTTTTCAAAATTTTATTTGTCAAAATAGCTTATTAAACATTTTAATTATACATTTAACAATTATTATACATTTTACACGCATAATATAATTCTTTAAGTATATTTGTTTTTAATTTGTATACCATGTTTTAAAATGAATAAATGAAGAGAGATCGCAGTTATAGTAGTTATTATTACTTATATGACTTATCATATTTGAAATTTAATTCTCACCCGTGGAGAAAGTTACCCAAATCGACAAAGAAGTGTGTTGAGGAGGCAACATCCCCTCAAGCCTTTAACCTTGCGAGTTACGAAAAGTGTGAATGAGTCAACCTTGTCCCCAAAATTGCGAGCAATTACGCATTCCCCAAAACTTGTACTTTCCGCCCCTTTTCAAAGGTTAGCTAATTCCTCAAAATATTACTAATGTATTTTATTCTAAATCTTAATGCGTTTATAAGTATTCTTTTTTATTAATTTGAATGAATAATGGATAAAAAAAGAATAAATTATGGTAATTATATTTATGTTCGAAATATTTGATCTTTTGAATTATTTTTTAAATTTATTGTATATTTTAAAATTTATTTATTACTAGTTTTCAAAAAAAAAAAAAATGAAAGAAGGCAATTGCTTTTAAACTATTTGTAATTAGAATAAAAGTTGAATTCGTCTTGAAAATTGATTTAATGAACACCAATAATAAACCCATCTTTAATTAAGGTTGAAATATAACATTCATGAATAAGGGGAGCATAACCACGTGCATTATATGGAATCCAACGTAGCAACAATGTAAAACAGACGTGCTACGTGTAGGATAATTATGTGTGTGAGTGAGTAGATATAAATTTAGTTAAGAGTTAATTGAATTGAAAATTAAAGATTCATAAATTATTGTCTTAACTAAGTGTAAATAATAATAATAATAATAATAGAAGAAAAAAGGGTTGATGTAGACTGTGTTGGGGTGGAAAGCAAACTTGTGGAGGTGTGTCTTTGTTTGGAAAAAGAAAATGGAGCGGCAAACACGCAATCTGAAACGGCAATTGATTCGTGTTTGTGCCATTTGAGTCTCTCTGCCTTGGGCGCTACCACTCTGCACTTCACCTTTTTACCACCACACCTACCATTCATTGTCTTTTTTCACCAACTTAATCTCCACGTTTTGTTTAACTTCTGACATGCCATGTAAAATTAACTGCTCTTCCATTTGCACACAATCGCAATGTTTCGCTAATACTATTAAATACGGTTGTTATTTCTAAACCAACACAACCTTTTGTACTTGACATTGCATTTTTCTTGTTAGACAAGCAGAAAACCACACAAGTTAATCCATTCTCTCCCATTTACTATTTACTTTTGGAAAGTGCCCCCACAAATACTGACACTTACATAAGCAAAGCAAGAATGATGTGAAGATAAAGATTGAGTGGGGCCGTGGTCAAATCTATAATAGCATGACTGTTGTCATCTCATCACTTGCAAATTGCAATGCAACCTCAAGTGTATACATTTATTAAAAATGATCTAATGAGAAGGGAGGGGCATAACATAACATAACTTAACTATAAGCATAGCATAGGGCATTCGAATTTCCACACTTGCCTGCCCCCACCCTATTTGTTATTGGAAGGTATACGCAAAGTACGTGAGGGGAAGTTCATATTGCTTCTTTAGCTCATAAGGGTCTTTAAAGAATGCCCACTTGGGTACTCAATGTCTTAATTTCTTTTCCTCTCTCACACATCTACTAATTACTCCTTTCTTCTTCACCATCGCTATATATAAAAACATCATTGCATAACCTTCTCAACCATTGCAAGCTGAGCTTCTCATCAATCATCATTGGTGGCTAGGTCTTGCTGGAGAAGCAGGGCACGTGCAACATCCCAAGCTCATTTTGCACGTGCTCTCCTTTTCCAGCTTGATTTTCCTACCATTTTTTTCACTTCAATTCAATTTTGGTAACATGATCAACCATCCAACGTTCTCCTTTCTCTCATATGTCAATGTATAGCAAAGGGGTGGGGTGTGGCATTTTTTATTCAAGATGACAATTGCTTGCATGTGAGTTTGTTGTGATTCGTGTTTTGCAGGGTCAATTGGAATGTACAGAAAACTTGTTAGAGAGCAATCTCCATCGCAGACTCTGCACTCAGAGTGCCCAACCTTCTTCACTGCAGATACTGATATTGGTATATTTCCATTTCTTAAACTGCACATTGTTCTCTACACCTCCCTTACAAATATATATACGTCAAAAACCTTTTTTGCTCAATCCATCTCTGTCACATGCTCAACTATCTATTTTAAACATGAATTTTAAGGTAAATAAACGATTTTTAGTTAGGAGTTTGGTATGTTTAAATTAAATTCTTAAATTTACATAATTCTATAACCCTGCTCCTTATGACATTAAGTGAAATATATAAAATTGATTACCTTATTTATAATTTTAGAGCCAATTCCTAGCTCTCTGTTCGTGATCAATTTTAAGAACAACTAAACTTTAAGGAAAAATAATTTTTTGAATTAGCAATTGCTAATTCATTTACACATTTGTTTTACTACTACAAAACCATTTCAACATTTATTGATTAAGTTTATTTTTTAAATGGTAACAAATTCCTTATAAGATACAAGTATATTTTTTTCCACTCCATCCTCCTCTCATATTCTTACTGATTTTGTATGGAGTTCGTATTTGCATACAAAATAGAAAAGAAACCCCATATAATAAGAAAAAAGGAAGTATATAGCACTAGATAATAAAATTTAAGATAATTAATAATATTTATAAATATTTTGTCCGAAATAAATGCACTATTATGACTCGTAGTGGTTCATAATTATTTGAAGTGTCTGTGAAATACAGTGCGGTGCAAGAATTGTCTAATTTTGTTAAGGGTAGGTATGGTTCTTATAGGCAACGACGAATGGTAATAATCAAATTAATTTAAAGCGATTGCTTTCTTGGCCAAATGAACAACCGGGCTTCAGTTAATTCATTCGGTAAATGTCAATAATGCATGGGGACTGTTTGAGCGAATCCTAATCTTACCATACTCCTCATTTATTAGATTCATGCCAGTTCATTTATTAACAAAATAAATTTCATACTGTCATTCAATTACAAATAAATATTTTTACATATAATTATTAAGTGCATTTATCAAGAGGTGTGTCAATGTAATGCTGAATTCTAATTTTAAGTAACAATTCTATTCGGTAGTTATGAAGGTTAAATAACTTTGTGTATGTAGTGATTTTCTTTAATAGATATATGTAATGCATGTAATATCTTAAAGTTAAGAAATAAAAATTAATACGTGTTTACGTAATTTTAAGAAAGGGTTTACAGTTTTCGGTGAGTAGGTATAAATGTATAATTGTATAGATCCAACATGCAATTTAAAATTAATAAAGTTGTAATTTATTTGAAGAATTGAATGCAAATAGTGGAAATGAAAAATGAGTAATTAATGCAGGAGACTAGGAGCCCCTTTGATTATTGAGTAAGCAATTGACCAAATGTGACGACTAAGATGAGGCAATGAAGTGGTACTTGGCATTTCCCTTTTTAAATTTCTCTACCTGCAACTGCAGAGTTACGGAGCAATTCTTTTGCAGAGAGACAGTGTTGAGTAAATAATAGATGGCGTGAGGATAATGGGTGTTATCAGACACCAAAACAAAATACTCTCTGTTGTGTTGGGTTCTGTAAGCACAAAACAAGAACCACTATAAGTGGAAATTTTCCTTACCATGTTGGGGGTCACTGGCTGTTGCTGGCTCATTTTAGTTCTGCATGTTTGTGTTGGAAATTGAACCGTAACATAAGAGGGAGACAAAGGATGACACTAACGTGGAACAACAATCTTAAAATGCAAGCAATGTAACACAACACATATTTTGATTTCATGCACACAAAATCTTACTACGTCACCATTATTCAATTTGGAGTATATTTTCGTTGATTAAAATGAACGAACAAAAATATGTAAGTCTTGTATTTTATTTAATGAATCGGGATGACTTTATAATTTTCAATAAATTTGGAATTAATGTTTTAAAGAGTACACTACTCCTACTACTAAGTACTAACACTTATCGGTTTTAATGCGATGTGTGATTTGAAGTCTTGAACACGCAATGCACAAATATCTAAGTTGTGAGTGAGAAAGAGAGGAGGACAAATGTGGGTGTGTCTTTATGGCTATCAGGTTTAACATTTTGTAGTTAGATTAGCTTTAGGTTTAGGGCACGCAACCAAGTGAGTGACCAAAGGATGAGATCCCTCCTACCCAACAAATTATGGGTTATTATATGATATGTATTTTAAAATTTTAATTTGTAAAAACTTTTAATTGTATATCATATAAAAAATAATAAAAAATTATGTGATTCAAAATTATTTAATAATTTCTTTAATTACTGCGTAAAAAAATCATTTATCAATATTTAGATCATTTGAACTAGTTGTTCATAGAGATCTCTTTAAAGACAAAACTTGTTAAAAATCGAGTATTTGAGAACAAATTCATTTTAGTAATAATAAAAAAAGTAAAATAAAGAGATGTTGAAAAAAATTAAACAAAAATTAATATTGATTAAATGTAAAAAATAAAAAAGTTATTTGTGGGTCATGTTTAGTTAAGTTTTAAAAGTTGGTAGGTAAGTCGGAGATTTGAATTTTTTTAAGTGATTGATGTAAAAAGGCCAAACCTTTTTAATGTATGAAAAAGTAACAAAAGTAGAGAGTGGAGACAACTTTTTAAGAGTTAATCGACATTTAGAAAGATAAAGAAAAAAAAATAATTATATTGAGTTAATGAAATGTTTAATATATATAAACACATAGTGTGTATTTAGGTCAATGGTTCACACACCTCAACTCTATGGCCGTGACTATAAATTTCGAGGGTTAAAACAAACTATATGTTTTGAATATTTCTCTAATATATCTAATGAAATTATATTTCATTTTTTAAATTAAAATTTATAATTAAGTAAGTTCAACATTTCACTATCTGATTATTTATTCAATCTCTATTTTGCAATATAGTTGAATATATACAATGTATGTATATTTTTAAACTATATAATCTTACTAATAAATTAAATATAAATAATATAATAAAATTATCTCTAAATAATTGAAATTAAAAATATTTTTAAAAGTATATTTAAACAATTAAAACATGGAAGATGCATGAGGCTGCTGCCTTTTTGGGCTTGCAACGAGCATGACCATGCTCAACTTGAGTTTAAAATAAATTAAACATCATTTTTTTTCGTTACCCATGATATTTGGTATTGTGTTGGAAACATAATTTCAAGTTTTAGAATCAAGTCTCCTTAAAGTTATTCGAAATAGTTTTTACATAAACACTAACTTGAGTCATGATATTCGTTTCAAGTGTACCTTTATTTATATTATTCGTGACACACTATGTTCCTAATTAGGCTCAAGTCATTTGGGTAATTATAAATTCAAAATCAATTTTAGTTGCAATTTTTTAAACAACATTGTATGTCAATAAAATATGAAAAATTATTTAAAATTTTAGTTATTTATAAAAAATATATAAATTACTATTATATGAAAACGTGGTGGTCCATTAAATTTCATGCAATTAATACAATTAAGTGAAATTAATCATTTTAATTAATCATAATTATTATTTAATTGCTAATTGAATGATCATTAAATCATTAATTAATCAATATTAATTATATATATATAATTAATCATTTTGGGTGCCAAAACGAATAAATGATATTTAATAAGTATAATAGTACAAAAGTTATATACTTATAAATATTTGCACATATCAATTTCATCACAAATATTTAGACTATAAGGATCTGTTTGTTTTTAAAAAAAATTCCTTAAACTTATTTTTAATAAAAAACACCTTTTATTGAAATCTGAAGCAGGGGAATTGAAATCTTAATAACAATTATTTGCCTTTGAATTTTGAGGTTTATATTATTTTATAAGCAACTTATAATCTTATTAATATTTCTAAATTTCCTTCAATGTAATATATATATAGTAAATTTAAGAATAAAAAAATTCATACAACAATTGAATATTAAACATTAGTATTAAAGTTATGTTGATAATTTTTAATAGTAATTATACCTGAATTCAAAAAGTTTAGCTTAAATTCTTATAATTTAAAATAGATATCTGACATAGTATTAATTTTTTCTCTCTCGCTCTCTCTCTCTTTTCCGTTACAAAGTTAAATAATTAATTTTGTCTATGTGACAATGCAACTTAAAATTAAATAGACTTTACTTAATATAAAATATAAATTTGTCATATGATTTAAATTTAAAAATATAAACTTCATTATGTTGAGAGTAATTATACAAAGTTTCATGTTTAAATTTTATTTTTACTATATATATATATATATATATATATATATATAT